CATCATCAGCAGCATCATCATCATCATCATCAGCATCATCATCATCATCATCATCATCATCATCATCATCATCATCATCATCATCATCATCAGCATCGTCATCAGCATCATCATCAGCATCAGCAGCATCATCAGCATCAGCAGCATCATCATCATCATCATCATCACCATCGTCAACATCAGCATCATCAGCATCGCCTTCATCATTATCAGCAGCATCATCGTCAACCTCATCATCATCAGCAGCATCAGCATCATCATCATCAGCAACATCATCATCAGCAGCATCATCGGCATCATCATGATCAGCATCATCAGCTTCATCAACATTGGCATCATCATCACAATCAGCAGCATCGTCATCATGATCAGCAGCATCATCATCATCATCATCATCATCATCATCACCACCACCACCATCATGGTCATCATCATCATCATCATCATCATCGTCATCGTCATCGTCATCGTCATCGGCATCGTCATCACCGTCATCATCATCATCACCATCATCATCATCATCATCATCATCATCATCATCATCATCATCATCATCATCATCATCATCATCACCCCTTCCCCGCGCCCCGTCTGTCTCCTCGCCCACACCCCCTTCCCGTTCCCCGCACGTCTCAGACTTCGAGCTTCGAGCTGCGGACGGCTCCTGGTGACAGGTGTCCCTCCTCCGTCTCTTCTTCAACGTGTTGTCAGGCCACCTCTAGCCCGTAGCGTCCGAGATCGCGGCCAGCCTCGTGCAGCACGGCCGCGCTCAACAAGCACAGCAAAAACGAGACCCCAGCGAGCGAAACAAAAGCCCTCGAAAAGCCCCACGGAACCGCACGGAGTCGAGTGCTCCAGGAAGGCCAGGCACAGCGGCTGCGACCTGGCCCTGGACGGGGGAGGACGAGAAAGGCCCTCTGCCTGATGGCAGGAAAGTCGTACACCCTGCGAAATGCTTTAGAAATCATGGGTTAAGAAATTCATAGTCTCAGAACTTGAATAAAACCCAGAACTTCTATCAAAACCTTGGGATTTACATTCAAAAGTTAAGAATAATCGAGACTCTGGCCGAAAAAATAGGTTTTCTTAAGCATCGCCTAAGGTGTACAGACGCTGCCCCGCCCAGGACAGGTCGGCCAAGGGGGGACGAGATCACATCGGGATCCAGAAAATCTGCTAGGAACCATTCGGGGGGGCCAATGGGTGCCCCACAGGGGCACCCTAAAGAGCCCTTTTGTGGGTAAAAAAAACGACCCCGAACCCTTTAGGGAGGGGGCCCGAGTTAGGAGGGCCAAACATACTGGGGATAGGAGGTCTTTCCTGCAGGTATACCGAACCCAGCCGTCCAGATGTATCATCCCTACTGCAAAGAGGGGGACCTCAGTCAGCAGTGAGGCCACGCCTTCGTCATGTTATTAGGGTTAGGGGTTCTTTTGTTCTCGATGACTTGAGGGCCCTGCTCCTCACCCCCCATGTAGGCCACATCCCATTATCACCCGCCCGACGAAAGCGGCACCCACCGAGGGGGCTGGCTCCGGCTGCTCCCTGGGGAGGCTGCCCGGCGCCCGCGGGCGCGGCCCCCGACGGAGGGGTCCCGCTCCCAGGGCTTCCTCGAGGGTCCCGGTGGATCCTGCGGGGTGCCCTGGCAAGTTTTGTGGATGCCACGAAAATGGACACCCTAACGGTCCGATCATTGAATGTAAAATGTGTTTAACATGTCAGAGAAATGCTCTAAATAGGTTTAGAACATGCGTGTTACATGTTGAAAACATGTTTAACACATGTTTTAGACATCTGGAAATTATGTGGCAACATGCTTCCTCTCCATTGATCGTCCTCCACAAGGCAAATTCCTCAGCTCGGCGGCGGGCGAGGGGGGAAGTGAGAAGGAGAAGGCCTTCTCAGAAGGCGGTGGAACTTCTCAGAAGCCCTCGCGCCGTCTGAGAAGCTTTTGTCTGTCTTCGGGGGAGGCTTAGGAAACTTCTCGGAAGGCCGGGAGACTTCCGAACCTTCTGAGAAGACCTTCTCCTTCTCACTTCCCCCCCTCGCTCACCGCCGAGCCATCATGGGCATGCCTTTCAAATCCTCATGGCTTCTCGACCTCACTGGGGACGTGCATCGGCTGCCGCGGCAACGGACGACGCCGACGCCAAAGTCGCGGACGCCAACGGCGAAGACGAGGGCGACGACGCCGCCGAAGGCGACGACGCCGCCGAAGGCGACGAGGACGGCGACGACGACGACCACGACGACGACGACGACGTCCTTCGCAAGCATCCCGCACTACGCCAGGTACTCGTGGCCCGAACCGCCGAGGTTCGAACCTACAGGTGCTTCGACACGTCCCGGAGCCAGGCAGGAACAGAACGCAATCACAGGTTGGGAGCTCTTTGGTTTCATCCTCCCTCCTCCTCCGTTGGTGAGGCTTCGGGCTGCGCACAATGGCACAGACAGCCGCCCCAGGTAGTCGGGGACGCACTGACCCGGGTCAACGCAACCCTGGGTCAGTCAGGCCTCGCAGGATCCTACAGGATCCTGCAGGGCCCTGCACGCTAACCCAAGTCAATGCAGCCCTGGCCCCGCAGGATCCTGCAAGATCTCGCGCCCTGGCTGACCCCCGTTGGCACCGACCCCCTTTCCCTTCAGCCCCGAGGTAGCCCCCGCTGGCTTCAGCCAGCTCCCCCCGAGGTAGTCCCAGCTGGCCTCCTCGACAGGCCCGCGGAGCAGTCCAGGGCGGTCTCAGCACCCCGACCTCACGTCGCGCGATGACGCGGGCGCAGGCCTCCGCACCGCCCAGATCGCTCGCAACCTAGCGCGATCGCGGCTTCCCGATCCATCGCCAGTCGCTCGGTGCAGGCCCTGGGCGGCGCGTGACCTCGAACGCCTGGCACAAGCGCGAGGATCGCTCGCAACCTAGCACCATCGCGGCTTCCCGAGCCACCGCCGAGCGCTCGATGCAGGCCCCGGGCGGCGCTCCGCCTCGAACGCCCGAGCATGGCGTGGAGTCCTGGTCGTGGCCCCGGAGGCAGGACGAGGCTTCCCGAGACCTGCCGCCGCGACGGGTCCTGGCCGGGCTCGGCGACTCGAAGGGGTGCGGTTTGCAGAGGGCGTGGTTTGCAACCGGCACCCTGGGGAACATCCTGGGGGGCACCATATGGGGGGCGCGCGGGGGCCTCGACAGAGTTCTCCCGCGCCCCGAGGAGGCCCGACGAGGACAGCGTCGTGCCCCCCAGGCCCCAACGGTGTCGATCGCAGACCACACCCCGGCGTATCCATACCCATTGTAGTCGCCGACAGGCGGCATCATGGAATACCGACGGGGTCAGGGACTCGGACCCGTGCCAGGACAGCGCGCGGTCGCTGTCTCGGGGCGGCACGCCTTGGAGTGCCGAATACAGAGGGGGCCAGTCCACAAGAGACCCTCCACGAGAAACCCAGCCCTAAGACCCCAGGACGTCCATTGAGACTTCTGGTGTGGGCACCCTGGGCACCCAAGAAACCTAGGGCACCCTGGAGACAAGCAGGGTGTTTCTTATCCTGGGTTTCCACTGCAGGTGCGCCCGCGCCAGGTCTGACATCCTGCCCATCCCTCCCGCCCCTTCTCGGTGCGCCGATGCCCCCTCGATCCGCGGACGCGCGTCGTGGCCGACCTGGAACTCCACAGCGGTCCCCGTCGATGTGTGCGCGGTCGGAAAGGGGAAGCTGTGCACGCAGGAGGAGGAGAGAGGAGGAGGAGGGGGAGAGGGAGGAGGAGGAGGAGGAGGAGGAGGAGGAGGAGGAGGAGGAGGAGGAGGAGGAGGAGGAGGAGGAGGAGGAGGAGGAGGAGAGAGGAGGAGGAGGAGGCGGAGGAGGAGGAGGAGGAGCAGGGCGCTCCTTGGCATGGGCCTCCACTGCAGCTGCGAGCCCCACCGAGAGGCCCGAGGCCGGGGCCCTGCTGCGGAGGCCCGGCACCGAGGCTCGCCGAGCCGCGCCGGCGCGCGCCGCGAGCCTGCCGTACGCCCAGACCGGTGCCAACAGTCTACGCCACGAATGGTGGGCGTGTTTTCCACCACCACTACCATAAGTGGGAGGGGGAGGGGATCCTCCTCCTCCTCCTCCTCCTCCTCCTCCTCCTCCTCCTCCTCCTCCTCCTCCTCCTCCTCGTCCTCCTCCTCATCCTCTACCTCCTTCCCCCCTCCAACTCATGGTGGTGGTGGTGGTGGAAAACAGGCCCATGAACGAAAACCCGAGAGCGCTCGTCGTCGTCGTCGTCGTCGTCGTCGTCGTCGTCGTCGTCGTCGTCGTCGTCGTCGTCGTCGTCGTCGTCGTCGCCATTCAGGGTCGGCGGCGCTGGCCGTGAGGCCTTCGCAATATACACACACAGACACCCTCCCACGAACTCTGCATGTGCCTCCCTGTGATCTCAAATTCGCTGGCCCTCAGCGGTGATGTAGACACGGCCACCCTCCCCCTGGGGCCTAGGAACAGTCCAGTGGAGGGTGCCTGTGTACGTGTTGTACTGTGGCGGACAATCGGCTGCGCGCAGGGGGAAGGGGGAAAGCGCGAGAGGGCCCAGACCTTCTCGGATCATGAGAAAAACGTGGCGGGGCATGCTGTGCCTCGCTCGGCCCGGACCTCCTCGGATCCTGAGTTCTGTGATCTGCAGAAGAAGCGGCGGCAGTGTTTCTTGGCTCGCCTCGGCCTCTGGGGGGGCCCTCACCAGGCCTCGGGGCCGGCAAACAAAAAAGAATGGCTCGGGATGAAGAGAAGCGGGTCCCAGGGCAGGGGCCCAGGCCGCTGGGGGTCCACGCCACGAAAGGAATCCTGGCGTCGGGGGTCGGAGGGGTGGGCGGGCCACCTCCGCAGGCCGCCGGGGCTGCTCGGAAGAGCCGCTCGTCGGAAGGCCGGGGGCCTCCCGAGCCTTCTGGAGAGGGCCCGCCCCCCTCGGCCTTCCGTCCCCCCCTGGGCGCGCCACCGAAGCAGAGGCCCGGGGCCAGGGAGGCGGGGAGGAGGAGGAGGAG